GGGCGAGCTCATGGGGGCCTGTGGGGGGGCGGGGTGCTGACGAGGAGGAGATGTCCTCCATTGCCAGCGCGGGCAGCACGACTGGCGGCGGGGGTAGACACGCACGCCAGCAGCAGCAACAGCAGCAGCAGCAGCAGCAGCAGCAGCAGCAGCAGCAGCAGCAGCAGCAGCGCCGCCCAGAAGAGGACGTTGCTGATTTTGCGCCGCGCCGGCGGACCGTCGCGTCTGCACCGTCGTCAGGAGCGATCAGCGCCGCGGCAAACAGCGACTTCTGGTCTGCCGCCGGGGACAAAGAGGAGGAGGATGGCGAGGCGGGCGGCGGCGCCGAGGGCGGCGGCGGGGCCGCCGAGCGGCGGGCGCGGCGGCAGGGGCGCGGCGAGCGGCGGCAGCGGGAAGCTTCCTCGGGGTGGGAGGGGGAGGACGAGGGGGAGCTGTTTTTGGACGCCGCTCAGGACGAACTCTCCCCGGGCGTCGGCGGCGGCGGCGACGGCAACAGCAGCGGCGGCGGCGACGGGGACGGCTCCGCCGCGCCAAGCCGCGGCGCGGCGACACCGGAGGGCGCATACGAGGACTGCTCTGCAGAAGCCCGCGACCCCGACGGCGCGACCGCGGACGCCGCCGCATGGGCGGCGCCGCAGGGCGTTTCGGAGGAGGTCAGGGGGCAGGCGCTGCTGAGGCACCCCGGCCGGCCGCTCAGAGTGCCCATCACTCAGGTGTGTGGCACGGCGCCCCGCCTGCGGGCGCACCCCGGCCACACTGTCCCCTCCCTCTACGGCGGCGAGTTGGGCTCAGAAACAGCCAGCATGGAGAGCCTAGCAACGCGCGTACCCCCTTGCCCCTGCAGCCATGCAATTGCTCGCGGAGCGCTTCCCGCGTGCACGTTGCGCCGCCTGCGTCTCGTGCCGCCTGCGCCTTGCGTCGCCTGCACCTTGCAGCCGCGCTGCGCTATGAGTGGCCAGCCCTGTGCTAGCAGCGGCGCCACGACCCGCAGGCAAAGCCCGCGGGCCGCTCCCCGGCTCACCCAACGAGAGGGCCGCCACCCTCATCACCGCCTGCTGCCACCACACTCCACCTCCCCACCAAACCCCTCTCCCCCCCAGGACCCGCCGTGCCACACGGAGGACCAGCTATATGAGATGCAGGCGGCGCTGGTGGCGGCGCGCGAGGAGCGGCCCTCGGGCGGCGGCGCAGAGGCGGAGGCGGCGCTGCTCGACAAGATGCAGATGCACCAGGTGCTGCGATCCGAGGGGGGGCTTAGGGTTTCAGGGGGCCGGGCGCGGCGACGGGGGCGGCGCAATCGGCAAGGCTTCATCGGGGTACCTGGGCGGCATTGTGTGTCCTGCTGTGCGCGCGTGGCGCCTCTTTGCGCGGGGACGTACGCACCAGCTGACCAGTGTGCGTGGGCCTCGCCGGGCGGCCGCAGCCTCGCCAGAATCATTCACGCGGCCGCTGCCCCCGTCCTCCACCCTGCAGTCGCGGCTGCTAGTCTCGGACATGTCCGCCTTCAAGGCCGCCAACCCCGGCTGCTGCTTTGAAGACTTTGTGCGGTGGTACTCACCGAGTGACTGGCTGCGAGGCCGGGCCAGCAACGAGGAGGCGGAGGAGGAAGAGGAGGAAAATGAGGAGGGGGAGGGGCAGGAGGAGGAGGGGGTTGGGCAGGGGCCGAGCGGCGACGGGGCCGAGGAGAGGGCCGGCGCGGAGCAGGGGTCGCTGGGGCGGGCGGCGTCCGCGGCGGCGCGGAGCGTGCGGGA